CACACACACGCACACGCACGCACACTCACACACAAACACAAAGACACGCACACACAAAGACACACACGCACACACACACGTACACAAAGACATGAATTGAATCAGTCCGCTCAGACATGCCAAGCGTCTTTTGTAGCATTTTGTCAATAGTCAATCTGTCTGCAGGGTACCGAGGAGCCAACATTATAAAAGGGATGCAGGCCACAGGCGAAACTCCCTTTGTACTGTCGAGCTCCGACTACCTCTTTCTTGTCAAATCGTCGTTCATGTTTCTCCTTGTTCCTGGGCTGTTGCCCAATTGGTAATGAAGTTAGAAACGGGAGTTTGTCGGTTTTCTCCAAATGCTCGGAAGCACATTGGCACTGCTGTGGCAGACGACAAACTTGGATCCCATTGATTGGTTATCTTTGTTTGTCTTTTTGTTGGTTGATGGGATGCTACCTTGTGGAACGGGGCAAGCCAGCCAGCCAGCCAATGCGTTTACCCCTAACACTGAATGAATTGAAACTTTTCAAGTCTCTTCCATGTGTTTAAGCCCCACCCCGGTTTATACCACAGGTCTTGGTGCCTGCAGCTATCGCATCCGAAAGACATGGATGGTGTTTGCCATGTTCCTGTGTCACACATGATGTTCTGGCTCAGGAGGACGGATAACTAACTGTTCATATTTTTATTATTTTCTGAACGCCCGACGGCGGCTTGTGTCTCTCCGTTTCCACGCCTCCTTATCTAGGTCGTCTGTCCTACCTTAGGGTTTTGTGGCCTGGTCATGTTTGTGTGCTAGCGTCCTGCCTGTGTTTTTTTTTTTTTCTCTTTTTCCTTTTCTTTGACGTGTGCGGGATTAGGATTTGCAGTCCACTAAATACCAAGGTCCAAGGTTCGATTCCCATGCCTGCCTGGTCTAGCAGCAGCAGGTCCTTCGCGGGTTTAGGATTGACGGGTATCTCTGCGTTCCACCAAAGAAGGTTCCTTTTCCGTTCCTTGTCCAGGAGGAGCTGGTCCTTCGGTGGTCTACTGTAAACTTTAGCCCTTTTTGCAGCGTAGGTGGCCTTCGGTACAACTGTATGTTAAGAACTGAACGTCTTGTGCTCAGCAGCACGTATCAGTCTGAGACCACCTCCATGGATTAAGCCAAGCCATCATGGCTGTTTGGCCTGCTGTTTTATCATGGCTGATTGATGCCAGGGACATGCTCCTCATTGGCTCTCCTGCAATGTAAAAAAATAGGACTGGTCAATGAATGTGACCTGTTTGATGAGAGTTGTACAGTCAAGATGACAACAACCTTCTCAGTAAAGCAGGGGTCAGGATAACTGTCTCTCTCCATGAACCTGGTGGGGGGGGGGGGGGGGGGGGGGGGGGGGGGGGGGGGGGGGGGGGGGAGGGGGGGGGGGGAGGGCTTCATGGGCCAGCTTCCTCCTCACTTTGTCTGATATGATATACCTCTCCTCACCAGCAGACGGGCCGGCAACTGGTTTTGCGGGAAATCCGTCATGGAATTTTGGATTAAAAAAGTCGCCCCAAAAAAATGCCAAAAAACGAAAGTGGTGAAGGCCTGCTGGCATGGATGCCTGCTCTCCACCCAATCCAAGTCTCCTTTGGATGCTGTTTTTTTTTGCTGACTCTTGTGAAAAGCTTGCAGCTATGTTTGCAATCGCATATTTCACAAGTGGTTTAGTCTCCCCCCCCCCACCGCAAAAGAAAAGAAAGAGTGTCTACCATGTCATTTGTGAACCTTTGCCTACCTCTTCTTCGTGTGACTTCATCCCTCCCTCCTTCCCTCCCTCCTTCCCTTCCGCCTCCCTCCCCCTTGCCCCCAACCACATAACTCCTTCCCCTACGCACACACTCACACAACATTTCAGCCAGTTCTTTTCGTTCTATGATGCCCCCCTTCGTTCCATACCACCGTCTTCCCCTGCAGCCAAGTCCGACTAGCAGCGTCGAGTTTCCTCAACGCCTGGATTGGACGTCCTTGTGGAGAAGTGTGCTTGAGAAAACTCGATGCAGTTTCTGCACATCTCCACAAACACATCCAGATTCAGGCGTTGAGGAAACCCTACGCTGACAACACACAAAAACAGTTCAGTAGTAAATGTACGCAAATTTTTTTATCAGTCTCGGGATGACGGTGGATTGAACTGAACTCCACTCTATTGGGGAGGAGGATGGTAGTGATTGCTGGATTGATGACCCCTGCTGACCATAGCTCAACCTTCTTTTATGCCAGACCCGTATCCATGCCACTCTTCCTTTTTTTTGCCTTTTTTTTTTTTAAAGGATCCATGCCGCCCGCCCTTGTCCATGACGACTATCAATTCTGCCCCACCTTGGCTCTGTTTGTCTTATATTGAAAGCATGTCTCGCTCTATTCTTCTGTCCGGGGGTGTATTTATTACACACTCGACAGAACCATTGGGAGGTCTGGCTGTCGATGTTGCCCTGCCGTGACTCTATTTTAGGTTTGAAAAACATGTTGCATCATGGATGTTTCATTCTTCTGTTTGCTTTCTTTTCCGCGATAAAGCTGGTTCCTTGTGCATTCTGCAGAGTATCAATGTTATTCCTTTTCCACCAGCAAGGCATGGAAATATATATACAGCAGCAACACACCCTTGAGGGGAAAAGAAGGGCTAAGTTGGCAAAGTGAAGTGTGGAAGAGAGAGGGTGCGTAATGGGGTGGAAAATGCGAGCGGGGGTAGAGATGTAAGTGGGGGAGTGCAGTTTTT